TCTGCTAAATTACACATTCCGGCCCTGCGCGGCCTTGGGCCCTCAGCGGCCTCACAAGCCCTTTGTCTGTTTGTCGGCGGTCCCGTGGTGGGGGGGGCAGGGGGTCTTTGAACTTGCGCCGCCTCCTTTACAGCCTCGATAACGCCATCTGCGTGCAGCACTGGTCTATACACATCTTTACTCCCTTTTCTTTTATTAAAAAAATGTTTTAATTGTGGCAAAATACACATAACATGAAATTTACCACCCTAACCATTTCTAAGTGAACAGCTCAGTTGCATTAAGCACGTTCACATTGTTGTGCAGCCATCACCACCATTCCTCTCCAGAACTTTCCAGCTTCCCAAACTGACACTCTGTCCCCCTTAAACACTGACTCCCAGCCCCTCCGCCGGCCCCAGCCCCCACCATCCTGCTGTCTGTCTCTGTGCATCTTCCTCCTCTGGGTCCTCATATGAGTGAAGTCACAGTTTTGTCCTTTCTCGTCTGGCTTCTTTCCACTCAGCATCATGTCCATGAGGTTCCTCCTTTTACACATGACATTTTCCCTGGACCGACAAAACTTTCAGAGTACTCAGGTAATTTTCATTGATTCGATAAGTTAAGTGTACGAATACGGCTCTCGGACGTTCTCGGAGATGCTCCGGGTGCCGCATCTGGGCCTCCTGGATCTGAGCTCACCCCCCACGTTAGCCTGATGGCCGAGTTCCTTCGTGCCAGAGTTCTGAGGGCGCCTTGAACAGTCCATGTTTTCTTTGCACATGGATTGTGTGTTTACTTTTTAAACTTCATTGGGAAACATCCCAGGGTTGGAAGATGCTTCCCCGTGGGCTGGAGATGCTGTCATGGTGGAGTCACGTCCCCCGCCCCTCCTGGGGGGACAGGCCTGGCTGACTCAGCCCGTTACAGGTGCCTGTGGGGGCCCGGAGCGTGGGAAGGGGGTTCTGTGGCCCCCGGAGCCCACCGCTGGCATTCTGCCTCTGCACCCGGAGCACCCTCTGCTCGGGTCCCGTCTACAGCCCTGGCAGGGCTCCCACATTCTTTCCTGTTCGCAGGGCACCTGGCTGCCACAGATACTGGCGTGATGTCCGATAACGTTCCGGGCGTCCCTCAGGGCTGGCACTTGCGATCGCAGCTCCTGAGGTGGACCAGCCCCAGGGGCACAAGCAGGGCATTGTCCCTTGGGGCATGGAGCTGCCCTCGCCTCTGGCAGCGGCTGCCTCCTGCAGACATGCACACGCTCTCCGGGGAAGTCTGGTCAGGCAGCCTTGGGGGCTGAGGTGGCCTCGGTGGGTGTCGGTGTCCTTTCTCCCACCACCCTCTTCTCCACCCGGCCCTGCTTCCCACGCCCTGGGGAGATTCCTTTTTCCTGGGCCTTCGTCTCCCAGCTCTTGGGGGTCTGTGGCTGCTGGATTTTGGAGGCTGCGGACGTGAGCTGGGATAGAATGGTGGCAGGAGGGGGCATCAGGCACCCCAGGCTGCGAGCCCCCAGGGGCAGGGACCCTGTCTCGGCGTCTCTCAGGCTCCCCGCCCACCCAGGACAGGAGGGAGCAGTCAGAAGCACACTCGGTTAAGTGATTCTTTCTGAAGCCAGCACAGTGTATTCCAGTGTTTGCAGAACTGTGTAGCCTTTGGAATGCAGCAAGGCTGAAAAGCCACAACAGGCAGATATAAATTAACACCACACCCCTCATCCTCAAGGGAAGACCTTCCTCAGCCAGCCTGGGGGGAGCTTCTTGGGTGGGACCCGTGGCCCAGAGCCTCCGCTGTGGTTCTGTCTGCGCCGGGGGGTCTCCCAGTGCACACCTCTGCCTGGGAGCTCGGGGTGAGGACACCCATCCTGATGTACCCTCTGTGGGGGACGGCCAAGGTCTGTCCAGAGGCGGGGCTTCTCTGGCCAGATCCTCCCCCCTGCCCACCCCGAGTTCACTGTGTGTCCCCAGCACAGCCCAGCACAGGGCATTGGGTAGAAGAGGCCTCTTGGTGGCCAGAGCCCAGGCCGTGTGGTCCAGGCGCTGCCGTGAATGCAGCCAATCTATGTTTCCAAGGCCTCGCTTGGGGCCCCGTGCTCTGACTCGACACACAGTTCTAACAGGCTCCAGCCACTGCTTTCTGTCCTGTAGCTGAGGTCACATACACAGCGACAGTAAGTGGATGCCTCCCTGACAGCAAAAGAACTGAAAACTGACCCTCAGCAGTCACGGGGTCTAAAGGGCACTGTGGTCTGTGGTCTTGCAGAAGAGACGCGCTGCCTCCGTGGGCCCAAAGCACAGCCGCGTGGCGGCCTGGCGGGAAGCAGGTGCCCGCCGTGATGCCCTGGAGAGTCAGTTCTCCTGACCGCCTCTGCATCGGGAGGCAGGAAACGTAGAGAACTTGGAACTTTTCCAGCACGTCCTGGCCGTGGAGGCCGGAGGCCGTGGGGTCCGGGCAGGCCTGGGGCCTCACTTTCCTCACATGTGAGACAGAAAGGCTTGGGGATGGTGGTGTGGGGCACCGGGCACACGACTCTGGTGTCGCCCTTTTTGTTGAAGTGGTGACCGTCGGTCAGCTGAATGGTGGCCCCAGAGATGTCCGTGGTCTGACCCCTGAACCCATGTGTGACCTTACACAGCAAAAGGGGCTTTGCAGGTGTGACTCAGTACAGGGTCTGGATATGGGAGAGCGTTCTGGATTAGCTGGGTGGGCCCTCAGGGAGGTCACGAATGTCCATAAGAGGGAGGTGGGGGTCAGAGCAGGGGAGTGTGACCTCAGAGGTTGGGGAGAGATGAGACCGTGCTGCACTGTCCTCCCTGCACCCCCCCGCAGCCCTGCGTCTCCCCTGGACGTGCATTCTTGTCACCTCCGTGGTTTCGTCACACGTGGCCTCAGCAGGCGTGGAGCCCCCGAGCCTCGGTTTCCCCATTCGTAGCACTTGTTGTGTGACACCAGCGCTGAGGTCTTGTGGGGGTTCGTGTTGCTATCTGTAAAGTGCCGGCTGGGCAGGGGACACGGTTGGTGGCAGTTGGTCCTGGGAGTGCTTCTGTAGCCTGACAGAGAGTGACTCCCAGGCCGTGGCGGGCGGCTTTTGCCCATCTTCTCAGGAGGGAAAGGGCCTGCAACGCTTGCCCAGGCCTCAGGGAAGTCGCAAGGCTGCTCCTGAATCCCTGCTCACTGCCATCCACAGCCCTGCGAGGACGTGTCTGTGGGCTCTGGCTTGTGTCGGTGGGGAAATTGAGGCAGAGGGACCTGCCGGGCCACGTGACCACAGAGGGGCAGTGGGTGGGCGGTGCCTCTGAGGCCCTGTCTGCACTCGGGATCTGGGGAGCGGGGCTGGCAGGCACCTGCTCTGGTCCCTCGCGGCCCAGCTGGCAGGAAGCCCTCGGGGAGCAGGAGTTGAGGGGCTCCAGGGCGAGGGCTGGGGCGATGTGGCGCCATGCAAGACCCCTGGCTGGCGCAGTGGAAGGGGAGCTCTGTGTGCTAGGGGCAGTCGGGCCCCAGATGTCGCTCACTCTCCTGACCCGTGTTTGCTCGAGTCCCCGTGAGATGGGAAGCTTCCTGAGGTGGGAGCCCCATGTCTTGTTCACCCCCCCAAAAGGCTCCCCTCGGGTCTCGGCCTCTGGAGGGCTGGGAAGGAAGATGACTGAAGAGGGTGGGCTGGGGCTGAGCTGGTGGGGGGAGATCCCGAGGGCTTCCTGGCCAGCACGGGGTGTGCATGTGGGGGTGGGGGAATGGATTGAGAGCCACCGGGGGGCAGCAGGGTCTCAGGGTAGCTAGAGGGCCTGGGCTCCCGGTGCTGGGCCGGAGTCTGTGTCGTGGGCCCAGGGAGCTTTCTCCACATCTGTGTCTCCCGGGGCCACACTGCAGCCACTCTGCTGTTCTGTCCCTGAGGACCCGCCAAGAGGGTGCCTGGAGACCCTGAAGCCCCCTGGAAGTCCCCTTAAGAGTCCCCTCTCCACCAGGCAGGAGGAGGGCTGGGGGCTTGGCTCCGTGACATCCGGGGATGGGGAGGGGCCCTGGAGGGTCGTCCCCCTTCAGGAAGCAGGGGCTCCTTATCTTGATGGTTTGGGAGTGATCAGAGCCGCCGTCTGTGGTGTTGGTGTGCAGACGGGCACTGGGGGGCTGTGCCTGGGAGTGGGCTCAGGGCGGGGCTGCCCGCCTTCCGTTTGCTGAGCTCCTGGGTGCCACCTCAGACAGCAGTCAGAGTGGCCCAGGCCCCAAGCCACCAGCCCCTCGGGGGACCATGGTGACACCCCATTAACAGGTGTGGGAGCTGGCCCTCCCTCCCTGGCAGGCTGGCTTCTGTGCTCTAACCACCAGGCGCCCTGCTCGGGGCCAGGAGCTCCTGTGACCATGTGTCCTCGACATCTCTGTGGAAGCACTGGTGAAAACAGACATGAGATACTGTTCGATATTGTGTGCTGAGCTGTAGGCGCCCACGAGGGCTCCCCACGCGAGGTGTGCCCCTCAGCAGTTCTCAGGACCTTCACCGAGTCGTGCAGCCATCACCACTTTCTGAGTTCAGAACATTTTCTTCACCCCAAAAGGAAACCCTGTACCCACTGGCTGTCGCTCCCCGGTCCCTCCGGTCCCTCCGGTCCCCGGTGACCACCAGTCCGCTTCCTGTCCCTGTGGGTTTCCCATTCTGGGCATTTCAGACAAATGGAATCACACGATACGTGGTCTTTAGTGTCTGCAATCTTAGCGCGATGTTTGAGAGTCCGTCCCACTGTAGCGTGGTCAGAACCGCCTCCTTTTACGGCCCGTGCCAACACTGCCGGACAGATGGCCGCACCTCATACGTCTGCTCACCGGCTGCTGGACGCTCGGGTTTGGGTGGCACTTTGGGTTCCTATGTCTGGGGAGGGAAGGGGCTTGGTCCCGCTGGGCGAAGTGGGCTGGGGGTGGTGGCTGAGCCCCTCGGCTCCCTGGGCCTGAGCTTGCGTCTGTGGCAGGGGAGGGGTGGCAGGCTGGCCATGGGAGCTGACCACCAGAGCTGACCACTGTGTCGTCCTGTCTCGCAGCTTCCTCATCGTCCTGGCCTGCCTCATCTTCAGTGTGCTGTCTACCATCGAGCAGTATGTCACCCTGGCTACAGGGACCCTCTTCTGGATGGTACGTAGCAGTATGAGGGGCCAGACAGCTGTCACAGCCGCCCTGGATTGGGGGCTGTGGGTGGAGTGAGGGCCTCCTGGCCTCTCCCACTTGCACGATGACCCTGTACCAGAGCGCCCCTGCTGGCCCACAGCTACGGGCTTGCTCTGATGCTGGAGGGCTGGGTTGTGGGGACCCTCCCACCCTGGCTCCCACACTTGCCAGGATGTGACCATCAGGCTGGGAGGGCCTCGGAATGAGAGGCACCTGGGGCTGGTGGTCTGGGAGGGCTTCCTGGAGGAGGGGGTGGCTGGGCTGAGAAACAAGGGCAGGACGATGTAGGCACGCGGAGCTGGGACCGTGGTCAGCAGGGACCTGCCCAAGCCTGCACTGTGGCCCCAGTCTGGGTGACTCCTGACCGGGATTATGGCTGGTACTCGGACCCTGCAGCTGTCTCAGCCGCCACCCCCGCCTCTGCCCAGGGTGTCCCCCCACCAGCCAGCTGATGGCTCCTTCCACTGGCCTTCAAGGCTCTCAGCCCTGCTGCCTGTGTCTGCGGCCCCAGAGGAGGTGCTCCGGGGCAGCGTGAGGACAGAAGGAATTTCCAGCGCCAGGCCCTGGCCCCTCCCCCCAGCCTGTCTGAGCCCCCCCCCGCCCCGAGAGTGGAGTTTGAGGACTCCCCTCCTGGCAACCAGCCGTGAGCCCCCCGGGACAGGGCCTGGGGCGGGTCCCCCACAGCCTTGGGTCAGCGCGGCCCTGGCGAGGGCTGGGAGCCGGCAGCCGAGAAGGAATCAGCCTCGGTTTACGCTGGGCCGGGTGCTGGGCGCACGTGACCTTACGACAGCGGGGACCCCTCAAAGGGGACCTGGCTGTGAGGCTGCGGAGAAGGCGGCGTACAGGGCCTGGTCGTGGCCCGAGGAGGCAGCCTGAGTGCTGATGGCCGGTGGGCGTGGGGCCCGTGGAGGGCAGCGTCGCAGTCTTTCTGTCGCTGCGTTTCTGTCTCATCTACAACCTCCCCACCGCCTACACAAGCAGAGGGGTCGTGACTCCCCACCTGCAGCCACCTCCCAGCGTCACCAGGCTGGCCGCACATGGGTTCACGCTGGGCCTGGTGTGTCTTCCCGGGCAGGGGCCTGTTCTGCTGGGTCTCCTGGCCTTGTGACCTGACCCCTCGACAGCTCCCGTTTTATTTCTCTGCATTGACTTGATCTTTCCTTCATGCTTCTGGATTTCAGTTCACAGGCAAGTTCCCCCCCCTCGGATGTTACAGAGGAATCAATCCGGGATTTCTTCCAGCACCCATACGGGTTAATCTTGTGTTTTTAAATTGTTGAGGGCAGTTGGGAACGTGCTGGCGTGTGGCATGAGGCACAGATCTGCTCTCACTCCGTCCCCCTGTTCTCCAGTCCTCCCAAAGCCACTTCTTCAGAAGTCTCTTCCCCGCCCCGATTTGAGGGGCCATTTTTATCGTAAAGCAGAGGTCCAGATGTGAGTGGATCTGCTGTGGGATTTTCCAGTTCAGCTGCACTGCTCTCATCTCCCAGGGCCGTGCTGCTTTGATGATGCGTGTCCTAAATCTGTTTTATTGTGTGATTTAATATCTTCGCGGCCCTTTGTGTTCAGGGTTACCTGACAAGTCTCGTTTGTTTGTTCTTCCCGATGACCTTTACAATCAACTTGTCTGGCTCCCAGGAAAAGTCGGATGGTATTGGATGAATGAATCTGGCGAGACTGGCATCCCTCTGGCATGGGGTCTTCCTGCCTGCAATCGTGGTGTGTTGGTTTATCAGGACGGTGTTATGGTTTTGTAATGTAGCTTTAGACAGTTGTTGTTAAGTTTATTCCTAATAACAAGAGTTGTTCATTGCCGTCACAAACGGGGTCTTCTCTTCCATTGTTTTCTGGAGTTTTTTTTTGGTATACATGGACACCGTGGATTTCTGTCCCTAGGATAGCCTGTGACGTCACTACCTTCTGTCATTTGTTTGCCGTGGTCTTTCCTCTGGTCCTTTCGGGCTTTCTGGGTGTGGAACTCAGCCAACAGATGCGAACTGCTGGTCGGGCGGGGAGCGCTGGCCTCCGTCGGTCACTCTGGCTGTGACGGGCGGGCCGGCTCCCTGTGCTCCTCCTGAAGGCGCGTGACGGCCTCCGGTGGAGTGCCGTGTGTTTGTTCAGATTGGGAGGTGTCCTTCAAGGCCGCCATGAGGGCCCGGTTTTAACGTGACAGTGTTGACTCTCGTCAGGAGCCTTTCCTGCATCCGGGGGCGGGTCATGTCTGAGGATGCCCTGATGTTGATCCTCTCGCTTTCCCTGGTAACCCCCAGGGTCCCGGTGTATCCTTCTCACTGTCCTATCAGGTTACACTTTCTCGTAGAAGAGTAGGGACAGGATGAATGGCAAAAAGGAGGACAGCCACCATCCCAGCAAGAGGGACAGCTTTTAGGGTCATGGAGTACTCCTGCCTCCTCACCTCCCCTGGTCCTGGGAACCCGCAGAAGCCGCCGAGGGTCCATGCCGAGGCCTGGGGGCTGCAGCTCCCTGGGGAACGCTGGCCACTCCTGCATTTGGGCGGTATGTCGGCTGCCACCGGCCTGGCGAGAAATGTCCCCAAACCCCTGCTCTGGGTGGGCCCTGGGGCAGGCCTGATGGGTCCGTCTCCCCTGCAGGTGAGCGGTGGGCAGGAGCCACGCTTCTGTCTGTTGTGGGCTTCCCAGGTGCCCTCCCAGCCCTGCGCCTGCTTCCTAGGGTGGGGACTGTTCTTCCCGCCGGCTGGAGCGCAGAGGAGGGGCTGGATGGTGAGGAGAGTGGGGAGTGGGATGGGTGTCTCTGGTGCTTTGGGATTTCATGCGGTGATTCGAGCCCCAGCCTGGACCCCACAAAGCACATCTGCTCTGCGGGTTGCTCCTCAGGTCCTCTCCTCACGATAAGTGCCTGAGCTCCTTATCCAGCTGGAGACTGAGGCTTCAGGAGGCAGCAGCAGGAAGGGGCCAGGAAGACCCTGCCGAGCGGGACCCAGACTCTAAGACTGCCCTCCTACTGCATGTACATGCTGGTGGGCCCTGGGGCCACGGAGAGGACTGGGGCCCGGGACCAGGGTCTTGGTGGGCTTCACTCCCTCTATATGAGTTTGCTCAGGCTGCCGGAACAAAGTTCCACAGACGGGCAACTTAAACAACAGATGTTACTGTCTCCCAGTCCTGGAGGCTAGACAGCCGAGATCCAGGTGTGGGCAGGGCTGGTTCCTCCTGAGGCCTCTCTCCTTGGCGTGTAGACGGCCGTCTTCTCCCTGTGTCCTCACGTGGTCACCCCTCTGTGTGTGTCTGTGTACCTATCTCCTCTTCTCATAAGGACACCAGTCCTATTGGATTAAGGCCCCCTAATGACTTCTTTTTACCTTAGTACCCTCTTGAAAAGCCCTGTCTCTTTGTACAGTCACTTTCTGAGGTGCTGGGGGTTTGGGATCCAACACGTGAATATTGGGGGGGACACAGTTCAGCGCATAAGGCCCCCCGAGGGTCTTGGGTCAGTTCCTCCACTGCTAGGAGGTTCCCTCTTGGGTTTTCAGTGGCTCCAACAGCATCTGGTTCCCGGGTTGATGTGAAGAGCACCACGTGCCCCCTCCTGGGCCCTGTACCCAGGCAGCTGTCAGCACCAAGGGTCCTGAGTTCAGGTGGGAACTTACCATGTCCTTATGCAGCTCAGGCAGCGCCTCTGGGTGCAGCTGGGAGGGTGGGATGGAGAGTGGGTCAAACTCACATAGGCCCAGCCCGCAGGGACCCTCACGTACATGCCCTGTGCTCCTTCGTGTGTGAATCTCCGCCGGGAATCACCACTGATGTGCCCGTGGGATCCCAGGCCCTGCGCTGGGGGTGGGAACCAGACCAGTGGAGGGGCTATCCCTACGACAGCCCTGGGATGGGGGCTTCAGACCTGGTCTGGTCCGGCCTGCACTTTCCTCTCGGACTGGCCAGGAGTACTTCTCACGTTCAGACAGAGCTCGCTGTCGCAGGTTTCATGGTGCAGTGTGGCCCAGAGCTGGGGGAGGTGGCTGAAGGCCCGTGTCACATCCTTGCTGCCCCCCTGCCCACCACCCTTTCTCCTTGGCACCCCCTCCGCCTGCTGTCCTGACATCTCTGAGGTTTGCCTGCCCCCTGCTGGCCATTCTGTGAGCTGCGGGCACAGTTCCCCCAGCTGAGGCTCAGAGCTCAGTGTGTGCTGGGGAGGGGAGAGGTGGATGGTCCTGCACCCCTTTCCCTCTCCCTCTGGGACCCAGGATGGGTGTGCCAGTGAGAAGCTCCCCTGCCCTGAGCAGAGCCCAGTCCCACTGGGGTCCCATCTCCCTTTCCACCCCTTTGAGGGCAGAGACCCTGTGCCTCCTCCCTTGTCCCCCATTCTCTCACATCAGCCACCTCCCTGCCACCTCATGTCCCACCAGGTGCCCTCTCCACACAGCAGCCATTGGCTGGGAGGGCTTTCTAAAACGAAAATCTGATCATTCCAGAGGCTCCCCGTAGCATTTAGAATAAACTTGGCATCTCTCTTAGCCCCCAAAGTGCCACACATTCAGGGACCCCTACCCCCACACCTCCTTCCACCTCTCTTGCTCCCTCCACTCCAGCACACTATTTGCTGACCCTTGGACACTCCTGCTGCCTCAGGGCCTTTGCATGTGCTCTGTTCTTGGCCCAGCTGTTTCTCTGGCATGTTACAGGACCGGCTTCTTGTCCAGTTTCAGGCCTCGGCTTAGTCGTCACTGCCTTGGTGCACCCTCCTCGACCTGCCATTTGTGGGGTCCCTTTCCCTCCCTCCCATCGCACCCTACTCTTTTCTCAGCAGTCTGGGTGTGACGGGGGCACTGGGGGTGGGTTCCATCTCCTCGCTCCATTCCACACTCCCAGAGGGCGGGGGCCCAGAGGCTGCGCTCACCCCACATGCCCAGCAGAGTGTTTCTGGGGTTTGGACCTCCCTCCTATGAGCCCTTGTGCCCAGAGCTGCCCCCGTGGGACACCCCCAGTTGCTGT